CTACCTGGGTGGCTCAGTCCGTTGAGCAACTGACTCCTGATTTCTGCTCAGGTCATGATCGCAGAGTAGTAGAATTGAGCCCATGTCGGACATCTTGCTGAACATGAAGTATGCTTGGGATTCTCTCCCCCGCCCCTCTTCCCAGCTCACACTCTTTCCTCTCTCTCTGTATCTTTTTTTTTTTTTTGAGAGTCAGAGAGAGACGGCATGAGCAGGGGCGGGGTCAGAGAGAGAGGGAGATACAGAATCTGAAGACAGGCTCTAGGCTCTGAGCTAGCTGTCAGCACAGATCCCAACGCAGGGCTGGAACCCATGAGATCATGACTTGAGCTGAAGTTGGACGCTTAACCGACTGAGCCACCCAGGCGCCCCAATCCTCTCTCTCTCTCTCTGTAAAAAAAGGAAAAAAAAAAAAAAGACTAGAGCAAAGGCAAAATGCAAGGTTCAAAACCTGGAAAGAGAGCAGTGTTAGGGTGTGAGGAGACTCCACCCAGCTGTCTTTAATTAGGAAGACAGCAGGCAGGGCCAGGATTTTTCTTCCTCCAAGTTCACTGAAAGAAAATCTGACACCAAATTTTGTTCTTAGGAATTTCAGAATAAGTAGAGAATTCTTTGAACTCTGTAATCAACTAACTGGAAACTAATTTGAAATTTGGCTTCAGCACATATATTTGTGGTTACAGGAGTGGGGGAAGCATCCAAAGAGGCTCTCTGGAGCTCTCTGTACTTGTCTTTTAAAAAGTTTACACACAGCATGTGAAATGAACAGATGCTTTTTTTGTTAGAGCTATCAGGGTAACAAGAGGCTGAAAGCTATATCAGGTATTTATTTCAGTCACTGAGATGGCTGTTGGCAGAGTTCCACATACCAAAACTAAAGAGAAGCTCATGAACAGATTTTTAAAAAATAATAATAAGACATGGAGGAAAGAGCCCTGTGCTTCCTTGTCTTGATTTCTTCCTAAACACATGCTGATGATTAAAAAAAAAAAAAAAAAGGAGCAAGGTACTCAGCACTCTCTAGCTTCTTTGGTTGTTGTTGTTGTCAGGGAGAGATTGGGCAACTTTATGTAATCCTTTCCATAAGACTGTGTTTGAACTTTGGGGAAATTTCTCTATAATAATATCTAACACTTTAGTCAGAGAGTGTAACTTAAGCCAATAAATACCTTGAATTTGAACTTCATCCTTGTTAAAGTCCTCTGTGTATTTATATTATAACACAGAACATTTGATGAGAGTAGTGCGAATAAGGTAGATAGATAGGTGCTAGGAGGGATTTAATAAAGTCCGAATTGGTTGGCACCTGACATAGTGAGGAAACAGGAAAGGAATTTCTGGCCATGAAGTTTGTGATTCCACATGAAGATCATTCTTTATAATGGAATAACCACCCACCCTAGCTGAGAGCCAGAATTCCTCAGATTCTTCAAACCAGAGGGGCCCTGGCACACTAAACAGTCTGTTACGATATCTGAACACTTAAGTGAGTGTATTTGGCCAGGGAGATTTGCTAGTGAAATTGATCTTGCCTTACTTGGATTTTTCCAGTTGTACTGAATAATTAAAGGAAAAATTAAGACCCAGATTCCCTGATACTAAGTGTCAGATCTGTAAGCTGATCAAACCTTAGGATCACAGTGTGTCAGTTTGAAAAGACATTAAAATTCATCCTGATCAAACTGATAGAGGATTTGTAAATCTGTTTCCCCAAATTCTTGCCAAGTGATTGCTTGACTTTCTGCTCAAATACCTCCAGGGTCAGGAAAATCCTCACTTTATGGGACACTATTCTTTGAATAGCTGTGAGAAAGCTTTTTGTTGGTTCAAAATCTGCCCTTGGATCTTAGTGTGCCAGTTTAAGGAGACATCCAGAACAAGCCTCCTTCCTCCCACATCCCAGCCCTTCAGATATTTCACATTGATCACATTGCCTGGAACCTTCTCTAGGGCAGCCATTCTTGGTTCTTTCTACTGTTTGTTCCTCAGAGGACAGGGTTTCTAGTGTCTTGTAGTGTAGGACCAGGAAGACTCGGGATTCTAGAGCAGCTCTTTAAAACTTTCAGAGCTAAAGAAAAAGTTAGAAAGGCTATCAAGGCACTATCTAGTCTATCCCCTCCAACCCCCACTTCAGTTTACAGATAGGGAGATAGTCTTTTGGATTTGAGAGGGCAAATTTGATAGCAGCCTCTTTTGAAGTGAGAAATGAAGTGTAACACATTTTGCCAGTGAACAGTCTTTTTTAGTTGCTTAATTTTTTTTTAAGTAGCCTCACTCCCAACATAAGGCTTGAACTCATGACCGTGAGATCAAGAGTCGCATGCCTGCTCTAATGACTGAGCCAGGCAGGCGCCCCTTTCGTTGCTTAATTCTGATCACAGGCTTCAGCCCACACCTCATTTTTGCCAAAGACCTCTCTGGCTCCCTGAGTTAAGCCTAAGACTCAGCTCAGAGTTTTACTGCCAGATCTCCACATGCCAACTATTGGCTTCACTCACTGTTTGTGTAAAGGATAGAAATAACTTTTCCATAAGTTTTCCCATCTATATTGACCACATGGTTCAACAGAGATCCAGAAATTTTAATAGATTTTGTTGTTTTTCCTTCATTAAATCAGAAAATGGCCATCACAAAGGGAGCAGAGTATGGTACCCCTTCAGAAATGCAGCTGCCTCTCTCGGACAGTTTCCTGGGTTGCCCTTTGTACTTTCCTGGTTTAACAGTCACCAGGTGATTAGATGGCTTTTGTAAGAGCCAAAACGCTGTGGACAGGATTGTGGACCACTTTTCTCTCGTATTTTCCGTTTTGAGACTTGAAATAGAGACGCATGCCTTTGAGCTTGCCCCAGGGAGGCTCAGGTTTCCTTGGATGTGCGCCGCAAAAAAGGAGCCCAGGTGTTAGGGCGTGGGTCTCTGCTTCCGGCATCTCCACCCCCCCCCTCCCCTGCCCCTCTTCCTCAGTTTTTGCCGCCTCTCAAGTCTGCGGGCAGAGAAATTCTGGAAGGAGGCTGGACCAAGACCTGATGTACAGGAAAGGGAAAGAGAAGGTGCCTAGAGTTTATCCAATAACTTGGCTTATGGGCGTAAGAGAATGCGTTCGGACACACGGAAAGTGCCGGGTTTAAGGCTAGAGTGTTCCTGGGCCCGACAGGGGCGCGCTAAAGGTGACATTGGAAGGACTAGGACGGCCTTTGGTGGTAGAGCTGGAGCCGAGAGCGATGCTAGCGGCCCGCCGTAGCCAGCGCGACCCCGCCAGCAGATGGGGCCCCGAGTGGCCCTGGCCAGAACCGGCTAGCTGGGGAGAGGCGGGGCGTCCCTTGTAGGTTCGCTCGCCCTTGGGCTGGGCTCGGAGCCCGGAGGGTCCGGACGCAGCGGGGGCGGCAGGGGGTCGGGCCAGCGGGAGGAGGGCGGGGCTTTCCTTTGTCAGGGGATTTGCGCGGCGCGGCCGAGCCTCGCGCGGGTGCGGTCCCCCTCCTCTCGCCCTCTCGGGGGGGCGGGGCTCTCCCTCGGGCCCCGGGGCGCGGTGGGCGTGGGTTTGGTGAGCCGAGCTGCTGGCGCTGGGGCTACCAAGCCCCGAACCGCGCGGAAGCCCCGCCTCCGCTTCCTCGGCCTCCAATCCTCTCCGCCGCCCCCTCCCTCTCCACTCGGGTCGCTCCTTTTCCCTGCCCCCGCCGCGGCTCCGCCTCCACCCTCCTCCCCGTGGTTCTCCGCGTCGCGCTCCCGGGCTTCCAGGGGGGCTGCCCGGGCGGGGCGGCGCGGGGCGGCGCGGCGGCGCGGGGAAGGGGGAGGAGAGCTGCCCGCCAGCCCAGCACTTGCAGCGAGCGGCGGGTGAGCGGGCTGCGCGGCGAGAGGGAGGAGGGCTCGCCCCCGCCCGGCCGAGCGGAGCCTTTTGTTCCCAGCCAGAAGTTTGCATGCCGGGACCGTGACAGCTGCGAGCGGGGAGGACGGCGGGGCCGCGGGGCCGGCGGTGGCGGAGAATAGAGGCGGCTGCTTGACATGCAGCCCACGGCGCGGCGGCTGCGGGCCGGGGACTGGCGGCGGCGGGGGAGGCGGCGTCCACAGCACGCGGGACTCAACTGCCGGAGGGACAAACTAACTTCCTGAGCGCGGGACTGGAGGCCGGCGCGGCCCGGAGCCACCTGCCAGCCTGCGGTGAGGCAACCCTGGCCCTCAGGGCGCGCGGCTTGGCGCGGGGGAGAGGGCCGCGCTGAGCGAGCCCTTCGACCGGCCCTCGGCCGCCGTTGCAGCCTGCCGGCCTCTCAAAGGCCTGGCGCCGGGCTCCACTCGTCTTGTTTTGCGGCCACCGCGCAGGGCTGTGCTGGGAGCCACAACAATGCCATGATGTTTTGGAGACAGGAAGCCCCAAGCTGGCCCCGAATGAAGGACTTCCTGTGTTTAAAGTTGCAGGAATATCCGCCGACCAGCCCAGTTCAAATGCAAACACCCGAACTAGGGAGGACGAATGGCTAATTCAGACCAGCTGGACTCTCCAGGACTGGAACTGAGGATAAAATGAAAGGAATTCCTAGGAGCTTGGGCCATACTTGAAGACTGGGGAGGCTGTGCCATTGTTATTAGGGGACACACAGTCGATATAAAGCTTCTTCCAGCTCTGGGTGAGAAGTGAGTGGAACTAGATACTGAATAAGACTTGTCAATATCAAATGATTTTTTTAAACTGACTGAATTAGGAAGAGCGGTGCTCTTAAAAACACACGCAAGAGAAGCCATACAAGGAATTATTTTATATTTGTTGATTAAATTATATCACTTACCTGTCTGCAACTATGAGGCTGTTAGCCTGTGAGGGAAGAACTGTTTCTCTTAGAACTCCCAGAATGATTTCAGAGTTGGACTTCTGGGCTTTTCTGGAGGGCAGATCCAGTTGGTGGTCCTGGGTTGTGAGCTTATAAAAGGATTTTTAACTTCTGCAGAATGCATTTTTGGGTAACCTGTGAAAAACTTTTAAAAGATTGATGCTTCACCTTGATTGAAAAAGTATGGGTAAGCCACTCAGCAGGCCAGACTGTTTAAGGCAGAACCCCACCTGCCTGGGGAAAGGAGAGGAAGAGGATGGCTATATAGAGGATTGTTATGTTCCACAACGATCTATATATGATACAATGAGGATAAATGAACAAATTGACCAGGGGTCAAAGCTTAATCAGACTTCGAAAAGCACCATGGAAAAGATGGAAGGAAGTACTATATCCAGCAATGGTACATTAGGAGCAGCATCTAATGTTTTTGAATCTAGAGCACCAGAAGGCAAAAAGCTGGATGAGAGAATAATATTTGATGCACTAAAGTTAAGCAGTGATGTACAGAAGTCAGCACCTGTTCCACCCAGAAGGCGACCAAATGCAGAACGCAAAGATAATGTTAACAGGAGATCGTGGAAGTCCTTCATGCCACCCAATTTCCCAGAATTTGCAGAAAGTATGGAAGCCTCTCTCAGTGAGGTTTCAGAAGCTGGTGCTTCAAATCCTTCCTTGCAAGAGAAGAAGGAATCCAGTTCTGCACTGACAGAAAGTTCTGGTCATTTGGACCACAGGGAACCTCAGTCAGAGTCCGTGACTCTGGAACATGTGTCCAAATCCATGGATATTCCAGAAGTGCAGGATATGAAAAACTTAAGTGGAGAGTGCCAAGACTTCAGATTGCAGCCGCACAGTGAGCACTCTCCCCGTGAATTCCAGCCTCTAGAATCAGAAGCTGCAGCAACAAGTGGTAACACAGATGTAATGCAGGAACACAGATTCTCAAGTGCAACCTGGCCCAGAGCCATGAAAAGTTTAGCTAAGGGAGGCTTCAGCGAGAAGCAGCACCCCCTTGGGGATACAGCTTGCACTGTGGAAATGCCACCTCTCTCCCCTTGCCTGAGTGAAGAGCTGTTGGATCCAGAATTGCATATTCTCATAACTCCCAGCCTGAGAGAGAAAACAGAGTCTGAGCTAAAGTTTGAGGAGGATGAACGATGGATTATGATGGAGGCTGAGGAAGAGTGGGAGGAAGAGAAACTGTCAGAGAGAGCAAAGGCTTTTTTAATGGCAGATGAGAAAAAGAACAGCTTAGCAGACACTGTAGTGGTGGCAGAGGATGGAGCCGATTGCTCGGCTGCTGTCTTAAGGACTTTTGACCACCTAGCTCTTGGTCAGATTTGTTGCTCTGATGACCTACAGCCCGCAAAGAACCATTTGGATTCTGTTTTCCAGGATACACCTCTTGATTACAGTTGTGTTTTCACAGGTGAGAGTGCTATAGGTGAGCTGACAAATAGAACCGCTCAGGGGCTGGAGGGTTTTGTTTCTGATTTAGAATGTACTGTTGGTCTTATTGATTCAGAGCAGCTCTCTGACACAGATTCAGTGCAGATGTTTCTTGAACTTGAAAAGGAGTGTTTATGTGAAGAAGGAGTAACTCCTCTAGTTGAGCTGGAGAAGCAAGCCTCTTCTGAAGGGCTGGCCCCATCCCAGGATGCAGAAAATTCAGTTGTCATTAGTCATTTTCCAGGAGCTGACTTAGAAGAGGAACACATAGGCCTTTTAAATGTAAGGGTAAAAGACTCTGATACTGGATTGGATTATGAATATTTTAATGCCCTGGATTCTTCTCAGGTGCCTAATGCTCTGGAACTTATTGCCCACTCTGATACCATGGGAGACACTTCCACTGTTAGTGAGGAGGAGCATGACAAAGTGCCTTCTAGCCCCAAGACTGCAGGGGAATTTAAGTTCAGACACCCAGGAGATCTGGTGTCACTGGGAAAGCTGGACCCAGGAGAAATTCCCAACTCTGATCACAGGGCTTCTCATGAAGAAGACTTATCAGCCTTTGTAGCTGAGCTGGCCAAAGAAAATGGCAATTTGTCCCAGGTAGACTGCAGTCACATTGAGGGGAATTTTGAGGAGTATGTTGAGAGGGTCCCCCTCAGTTGTGCTTTTAGCTATGAACTAACAGATGTTACCTCAGTATCTGAAGTAGAGGCATTATCGCATGATTCACATTTACTAACAGATGAGATTCATTTGGAAAGTGAAAAAGGAGCTATTAATCAAGAAAGTAACAATCTGACTTCCTTGGGAAACATGGACCCTTGTGAATTGTCCAAGGAGGAAGTTTGGGATGAAGACGGTGAGGTGCAAGAGCTGGGTTATGAAACCAGGCTTTCAGGGGACCAAGCCCCAGCACATTTTCATAGAACCTTCCCAGAGCAGATCTTCCAGGCTCTCCAGAGGAAGTGCACAGAGTCAGATGGTCTGAATCTGCCCCTCCTGGTTGGAGGACCGAGACCTAGCAGAGATGGCTTGAAAACTATGAATGAGACAAAGCCCAAGCTGACTGTGGCATCATCAGAGAGAGGGGAGACAGAAATGAGAGATTCAGATTCACTGCTAAATATCTTTCTAGAGGAACAAGTTACCAAGGCTAGTAGTACTGAACCAGCTTTGGAGGGATGGACACCCATCCCACAGAAGCCTATTCCTGCTGCCTCACTGCCTGCTACAGAAGATGGTGCCCTAAATGCTGCATTGCTTCTCCCAGAGGTGGACGTCCTAGCTGTTGCAGAGCCTGCCCCAGAGGCGGACACACCAGTTGTTTCAGTGGCCACCACAGAGGCACATGTCCCAGTTGCTTCAGTGGCCACCAAAGACAAGGACATCCTGGCTGCTCCCCCCGCTGTTGCAGTGGCTACCATGAGGGATGACATTCTAGAGGGATCTGCCACCCCAGCTTTTGCAGTGCCTGCTCCAGAGGAGTCTGTTAACCCAGCTGATAGAGTGCCCACCCCGGAGGAGCCTGCCATCCCAGCTGATAGAGTGCCCAACCCGGAGGAGCCTGCCGCCCCAGCTGATGGAGTGCCCATCTCTGAGGAGCCTGCTGCCCCAGCTGTTAGAGTGCCCACCCCGGAGGAGCCTATCGCTCCCTCTGCTGTAGCGCCCACCCTGGAGGAACCTGCAGCCCCAGCTGCTGCAGTGCCCACCCCAGAGGAGCCTGCCACTCCAGCTGATAGAGCGCCCACCCTGGAGGGGTCTGCAGCCCCAGCTGATAGAGCGCCCACCCCAGAGGAGCCTGCCACTCCAGCTGATAGAGCGCCCACCCCGGAGGGGTCTGCAGCCCCGGCTGATAGAGTGCCCACCCCGGAGGGGTCTGCAGCCCCGGCTGATAGAGTGCCCACCCCGGAGGAGCCTGCCACTCCAGCTGATAGAGCGCCCACCCCGGAGGGGTCTGCAGCCCCAGCTGATAGAGCGCCCACTCCAGAGGGGTCTGCAGCCCCGGCTGATAGAGTGCCCACCCCAGAGGGGTCTGCAGCCCTGGCTGATAGAGCGCCCACCCCGGAGGGGTCTGCAGCCCCGGCTGATAGAGCGCCCACCCCGGAGGGGTCTGCAGCCCCGGCTGATAGAGTGCCCACCCTGGGGGAGCCTAAAGCCCCAGGTGATAGAGTGCCCACCCCGGAGGGGTCTGCAGCCTCAGCTGATAGAGTGCCCACCCCAGAGGAGCCTGCCACTCCAGCTGATAGAGTGCCCACCCCGGAGGGGTCTGCAGCCTCAGCTGATAGAGTGCCCACCCCAGGGGAGCCTGCCACTCCAGCTGATAGAGCGCCCACCCCGGAGGGGTCTGCAGCCCCAGCTGATAGAGTGCCCACCCCGGAGGGGTCTGCAGCCCCAGCTAATAGAGTGCCCACCCCGGAGGAGCCTACAGCCCCAGCTGATAGAGTGCCCACCCCGGAGGGGTCTGCAGCCCCGGCTGATAGAGTGCCCACCCTGGAGGAGCCTACAGCCCCGGCTGATAGAGTGCCCACCCCAGAGATGTCTGCAGCCCTGGCTGATAGAGTGCCCACCCTGGAGGGGTCTGCAGCCCCAGCTGCTGCACGGCCTGCTATGGAGGAAATGTTTCTTGCTGGTGCAGCCCTCCTGGGAGATACTGCCCACACTGATTCAGTGCCTATCTCAGAAGAAGGAACTCCTATTCTAGAAGAGACTTCCCCCACTAGAATGTGGATTAAGGGGGACCTTGATTCCTCAGGATTTGAAATAAAAGAGGTGACTGGCACAGTGCTACATGGGAAAGTGCCTCTGGCTACAACTGATGAATTAAATTCAAATGAGGTAATTGTTGCTCATTTCGTTGGGAAAGTATCGGTGGAGTAAAGTGAGATGTGCAAGTTAACTTGGTAGTGATTAGAAAGGGCACAGATAATCCTTTCTTTGGGGCACTGGGCTATTCTGATCTTTCTGTTGCATTTATGGGCAAAATATGTCTTTCATTTGGTGAAAAACTTTACAATTTGTACTTCATTTTTTTATTCAGTGATAAACCAAGCCCAATAGTTGTTGGTTTGCATTTTGGAAAAGATTATTAGCAGGAAAGAATGATTCTGCTTTTGAAAATTAGAGTGACCATGTTCTGTCCTAAATAAAGAGGGTGCTCTTTAATCGGTGATGTCAGCGGTAAGGTAGGAGCAGTGGTGAGGGCTTTGGAGAGAGACCTGGGAGAGTCAGCCACCTGGCAAATTAGTTAGATGTCCTGAGTTTCCAGTTTGTTCATTTGGTAAGCCAGAACCCTGTGAGGATAAGATAACCCATGGCTATCACTGTCAATATCCTCCCCCTTTCTCTTCCACATAGCTGTGTTGGTTAGTTGAAAGAATTCACCAAAACAGTTTGGGTGAAAGCAACATCTAGATGTGTGAATAACAGCTTTTCAATACAAATGTGTGTTTCTTAAAGCCAGAATAAGGCATCATAATGTTTATTAAAAATAGAGGTATTTTAGCCATCTTGTCAAACTTTGTGTGCTGAAGCAAGTCACTCTTTTTCCTGGACCTCTTGTTTCCTGATCCATAAAGTGGGCTGAATGTCCTCTTGGATTCTCTCTTAGCTTTAAGGTTCTGAGATTCTTAATGTTAGAGAATGGAGTATGTTAGAAACCCCCAGGAACAGTGTTCACATCCTTGAGTACTCCTAGTCAAAGACTTAAGATTGGCAGCTTGCTTGCTTGCTTGCTTGCTTTTATTTATTTCTAGGAGAGAGAGACAGCGTGAGCAGGGGAGGGTCAGAGAGAGAGGGAGATACAGACTCTGAAATAGGCTCCAGGCTCTGAGCTGGCAGTCAGCACAGAGCCCTAGGCAGGGCTCGAACCCACGAACCGCGAGATCATGACCTAAGCGAAAGTCGGATGCTTAACCGACTAAGCCACCCAGGCGCCCCGATTGGCAGCTTTCTAGAGTTCACTGCCCCAGAGTCATTTGGGCAATGTTAAGGAATAAAGGACTTAGAAGTTTCATCTAATCTAATATCATCAGGGATTACTGAGTACAGACAGAGGTGGTTTTGATTTTATACCATCCCCAGGACCCAAAACAGTGCCTGCCTTCTAATAGGCATTCACTGTGATGGACTGAATGAATGAGTGAATATACATCTGAATATGTGTGGATACTACAAGAAACATGGGTTCTCATATCCACCCCATTGCAGAGCCTTTCAGGGCAGCTTTGTCAGCTAGAGCACCAATTAAACTTGCAGCTACCAGCAATGGAAAGTCATTTTGATTGCAGGCCACAAGCTGCCAACTTTGCTACAGATCCCCTGCTTAGCTGAGTGGTGGTGGTGTCACCTTGGGCTTCACCAAATATTTTGCGATGTAGCATCCCCTCAAGCTTTCAGATTGTTGGACTGATTCCCTTTTCTGAGTTTTACTGAATTTGGGGTTGACACTGGGATCCCAATAACTTGTCCAAAGTTATAGGCATTCTTGATTACACAGAATATTTTTAGTATAAAGCATAGAGCAATAATCAGTGAATACAGGGATTAAATTTGTAAGGAGCTGATCAAATCTGCATAAAGGAAAAAAATCAGAGAAACCCTTAATACATCAGTCTCAGATCTGTTTCCTCATCTACAAAATAAGTAAATGGGGCTGGGTAATTTCTGAGGATTCCCTCCAGCTCCAGGGGTTAATTTATGAAATACTGCCTGATACAAACAGCAAGAGAAGGCAGTGGTAGCCAGCTGTAAAGTTGTCCATCTTTGAAGTGTGGTTACTGTGCTGTAGCAAGCAAATGCCTGCATTTGTGTATAAAAGAAATCTAAGCCATCACCCCAGCCGGGACATTAACCAATAAGAATGTAGAAATGCATTTGAAAATATTTATTGAAACAAAACAAATATTATAGTGCTAATGGGAGTATACAGATTTTGCTAATCTGTGAAATACTAAGGGAAAAAGTTTTTCCAAGATGAGAGATGTATGGATTTCATTTCTTCATAAATGGTTCCTAGAGGCAATTGAACCTGACATTTTAATACATAAACACTTAGAATTCAGTAAGTGATCATACCTGAAATGTAATTTATACGCTGTGTGTGTGTGTGTGTATACAAACGTATGCATGTATACATGGTTAAAATAGATATAAACTGATAGCATTAACGAGAGTTCGGTGGAAGAAGCAAAATGTTAGAACTTGTTTGCTATCCTTGTAGTGGGATCCTAGGCCCACTGAGAGCAATCTGTGGTTATTTAACCCCTCTTCTCTTTTGCAGACCTCCTTTAGTCTTATTTCCAGACACTGGTTCAGTGGAAGAAAAAAATATTTTGTATAAAATTAGGGGTTATATAAAATTCAGAATTGCCAAGAAAGTCTTTTAAAGCAAAAGTTGGGAAGCCCCACAATCTTAGTTCAGTGTTTGAATGTTCAGCTGATCATCAGAACCTTCCTAAATTTGTTTGCCTTCCCTAATACTATTTCTATACAAGGATTCATTCATCCACTGGATAAATAATTTTTGTGTACCTGCTTTGTGCCATGTGTTGGGGCTCCTTCAGTGAATAGAATCTACATAGTCCCTCCCCTTGTGGAACTTCTACTATAGTAACTGAGGCAAATATTAAGCAAAAAAGACACAAATATAGGGTTGCCTGGCTGGTTCAGTCACAGAACATGTGACTTTTGATCTCAGGGTGGTTAGGCTTGAGCCTCACATTGGGTGTAGAGATTACTGGGGGGGAAAACTTGAATAGACGCAAATGTGTAGTTAAAAATCACAGAAAATGTTCTGAATAAAAAGTAAAGTCTATAATACATAATAGAGATATTTAATTTCAATTGTATCAGGGAAAGGATTTTAAAACTAAAACCTGAAGGTTCCAGGGGCGCCTGGGTGCTTTGGTTGGCTGAGTATCTGACTTCGACTCAGGTCATGATCTTATGGTCTGTGAGTTCGAGCCCCGCGTCAGGCTCTGTCCTGACAGCTCAGGGCCTAGAGCCTGCTTCAGATTTTGTGTCTCCCTCCCTCTCTGCCCCTCCCCTGCTCATGTTCTCTGTCTCTCTATCTCTCTCTGTCAAAAATAAATAAACAAAAAAAATTAAAACCTGAAGGATACATAGAAGTTACTTGGGCAGAGAGAAGAATATTTCAGGCACAGGAAATGGAAGCTGGGAAGACTTTGGGATGTTAGGACTCTTAAGAAGGCCAAGTGGCTAGCCAACAGTAAGCAAGGGCTCTGGAAGAGGCCAGATGATGCAGGAACTAAGAAGTTTTCAAAAGGATCTATACTTTAAAAGCCACGAGAAGCTATTGAAAGATTTTAAGTAGGGGAGTGAAATGATTTCATTTACATTTTTAAAACATTACTCTCAGCTTGAAGATAGAGCAAACCAGTCTTCACAGACAGTAAACATTCTCAACATTGTCTGGGGTTTATAAATCTCAGATTTATTTTGTCTTGTATTTTATTAGTTTGTCTTATGATTGGCATGAAATACAGAAAACACTGAATGGTTCACAAAAAAAAAATCATACTTGTTGCTGTGTGTGCAGTTCATTATAGTAGATCAAGGACAGTAGAGAGGCCTGCTAGGTTACTGCAATTGTCCATGTGGCTTGGACTAGAGAGACATCACTGGATTTGAAGACGGTTAGATTCAAGATACGAATATATTTTGGGTGTAGAATCAACAAGACCTGATAATGGCTTTTATGTTGAAAGGGAGGGAGAAGGAAAGGGGGTTATCAAGGTTGGCTTCTCGATTCTAGTTTGTGCAGCTGAGCAGATGGGGGCAGTAGTAAATTGTTGATTTAGAGAAAAAGTTTTTAGGGGAGAGGAAAAGAGTAGGTTTTGAGGTACCCATGATTTCATTTGTATGTCAGTGTTAAAGTTACTTGGATGGGCATACACACACACACACACACACACACACACACACACACACACACACACTTTAACCATAGGTAACATGATTAATATTTAAAGACATGGGAATGGATGGAATTGTCAAGGAGAGAGCCCAGAACTGATATCCTCCCCTGACCCCCACCCTCAAAGACTAACATTTGGAGATCTAGAAGAAAAGGAGGAAGAGAATAAAGGAAATAAATTTTAAAAAATGATCAGGCAGAGTAAAAACTGGGAGAATGTGGCATTACCAAAGATAAAACTGTTGTAAGAGGCTCTTTGGGAAATACTCTGTTTTATGTCCCAGTTGCATCTTACACTCTTGGGATAATTTTTACTAGTGTTTTGCTCTGGGAAATGTCTGCCAGCTCTGGTTAGTTAATAACATGGCACAGCCCCATTGAAATACTGAGGAGTAGGAATTTTAATGCATCTAAAAGCACTGGTTTTGCAGAACACCTTTATTTGGGAGTTGAGAGAAGGGAGCAAGTGTTTTTAAATTTACTTTAACCTTCTGTTAATTTGTGTTCAAAATAAATATTTTTTAAATGTTTTTATTTATTTCTGAAATAGAGAAAGACAGCGTGCACAGGGGAGGGTCAGAGAGAGAGAGGGAAGCACAGAATCTGAAACAGGCTCCAGGCTCTGAGCTAGCTGTCAGCACAGAGCCTGACACGGGGCTCGAACCCATGAACTGTGAGATCATGACCTGAGCCGAAGTCAGACGCTTAACCGACTGAGGCACCCAGGCGCCCCCAAAATAAATAATTAGATAGTATTTATTTAGAGGTACTTTTATAGTTTTTAAATTCTGGAAAAAGATGAGAGAAATACCCATTCCCTCTTAAATTAATCCATAGAGTGGAGGTTGAGAAATGAAGGAAGGAATCCCTGATATTTCTGTAGGAAATGTTCGTTGACAAAGTAAATGGAATTCTTTAAACAGGAATTAGCTCTGTTGTATAA